CCAAATTAAAAAAAAAAAAAAAAAAAAAAAAAAAAAAAAGCATTTGTATTGCGTCCTCTGAGACTTCACGTTAATTGGAATTGGAACGAAACAGAGAAGAAAGATTAGCCTGGCGCAGAAGTAATTGTGTGTGCCCTTCGAGGCACCTGTTGAAATTGCCATCAGGGAAACATATAATAAGAGAGGAATATATATAGCATGCGCTCTGCCAGCTCAATTCGCAGTCCTAAGGGCTGTGCGTTATAGTGGGTTCGGGTGAGTCTGTCAAGGTGGCCTAGTTTTTGGAGCGGGCCTACAGGGGTAAATTTTGAAAGGGGGTACTACAGCTAGTACAGGGGTAAAACTTGAAGGGGTACTTCAGTGGTAAACTTGAAAGGGGGTACTACAGGGGTAAAACTTGTTGGGGGACTGGTCCTCTGCAATTTTGCGGAGGACCAGACAGCTATTGCTCCCAGAACCGGTACCTTTGAAAATTTGAAGGGGTGACCTAGTTTTTGGAGCGGGCCTACAGGGGTAAAACTCAAAAGGGGAGGACCAGACAGCTATTGCTTCCAGAATTGGTACCTTCTGGTCCTGTGTTGGCATGGACCTGAAATAGCAGTTGCTGGACCTGAAATAGCAGTTGCCCCTCGCCCTCCGGTTTCGACAAGTTTTAGCCTAGTCCAGAACTCCGGTTTCGACAAGTTTTGGGGTCGGATCCCACTACCCTGGATTATTCATTTTTCACAGCCTAGTCCAGAACTCCGGTTTCGACAAGTTTTAGGGTCGGATCCCACTACCCTGGATTATTCATTTTTCACCCTCGATTATGAAGATCAACGGTCCGAAATGAAAATAGGGGCTAGTGGGATCTGGCCCTTAGCCTAGTCCAGAACTTTTAGGAGGCCGGGCCCGACAATGGCTGCCGTCGGTAAATCTGATCGGCGGCCGTCGTTTTGTTTCGGCCTCCTGAAAGGTCGGATGCCCACTATTTTCCAAACCGACGGCAATGAAGGGACACTTCCTCCTGAAAGGTATGATGACAATGACTATTATGAAAGATGCAAGTGTCCCTTCATTGCCTCTTTTTTCCATTGAGTTCATTCATCGACTTTTTTTTTCCATGGACCAAAACCACCGAGGAACTGGACACTTCAGGAAATAGTCTTGCCACGGCCCCTTGTTTGTTGTCCTCTTCTCCCTCTCTGCCTACGGTTCATGGGGCAGCTCTCTGTGACGATATATATACCACTTAATTTTTATTTTATTTTGATAACAAATTTATTTGCTCCTGCTTTATTTTGAAAACAATTTTGTTCGTTTCAATCGTTTGTGGTTTATTTTCATAACCGCCAGCGGACAGCTTTGAAAAGAAAAGAAGGCCCGGGGGGGAACTTACCTTGGATTGCAGTGCTTCTTTTTTCCTTGCCACGCGCGGACAAGACCTCTCTCTCTCTCTCTCTCTCTCTCTCTCTCTCTCTCTCTCTCTCTCTCTCTCTCTCTCTCTCTCTCTCTCTCTCTCCTGTCTCTTATACACATCTAGATGTGTATAAGAGACAGGAACTTACCTTGGATTGCAGTGCTTCTTTTTTCCTTGCCACGCGCGGACAAGACCTCTCTCTCTCTCTCTCTCTCTCTCTCTCTCTCTCTCTCTCTCTCTCTCTCTCTCTCTCTCTCTCTCTCTCTCGCGTCTTATACACATCTAGATGTGTATAAGAGACAGGTGGTAGCTAATACGTACGATGCATGTGATTTACCAGCCGTAATGGAACTATATGAGGAAGAACTACATATCATGAAGTACCCTTGGGGAGTATCACGAACGGCATGGCTCGCATTCGTCAGGAATTGTAAACATAATGAAATACGGAAGCACTTCCTGGAATTCCTGAAAACAAAAGACACAAAGCAATGGAGAGAAAGAAAGGAACAGACACGTGCAGGAAGACAAAGAAATTGAATGAATATACAAAAATACTACGACTACATCGTGGCACTACCTAAGCACAAGACAAACACAAATGATAATCACGCAAGCTCCATATTCCGAAACACACGAAGGACTCAAGCGACCACGGAAAGGAAACAGAACTCAGGCACGCATAAACAGAGTACAGAATAAGATATAATTCCGAAGGTCCAGCAAAATCTCCGAAATATCAGAAACTGACCGCGCGGCCAGACTAGATAAGTCATCAACCCAGGAACCAGATAACGGACTAAGAATATAACAACAGACCTACCGTACAAATTCCGCATCACTGAAAGCGAGAAACGGAGCGAGCAAGGAACCGGGAATTTCGCACGAAGCAAAAACGACCAAAACGAAAATGAAAAAAAATAAAAATAAAAATATAACTCACCTGCAGTACCAAAACGAGCAAGAATCCGTGCACACAAATCGCACGAACAAGGAAACAAAGGTAGTATACATTCACGGATTTGTTCAGACATATGGATAGGTAAAGAACAAATACGTGACCACATTCAGAGGAGGGTGAGACAACGATATAAGCGAAAGCTGGGACCAAGATGGAGGACAGACGACGACACAGACTTCGACGCCGATGATGTGAGGAATATGCACGGGACGGGTAGAAAGGACAGGAAGTACTTGGACCTTTGAAAGAGTATATATATCAGGGATAGCGGCTGTGAGGATTACCTGAGCAGTGAGGCAGAAGGGTAGTCACGGCAGGTGGATTGTCACAAGCCATGGACAGGACGTGTATACTGTGAAAGTGAAGCCTCGCACGTCTTGTCCAATATTGCAAGTGTTCTCTCTCTCTCTCTCTCTCTCTCTCTCTCTCTCTCTCTCTCTCTCTCTCTCTCTCTCTCTCTCTCTCTTGCGTGTCCGCTGCTCGATGAGAGCGATTGGAAGAGGGGCCCCTCTCTCTCTTTCTTGCGATCAATCTTCCAATCGCTCTCGTCGAACCAGGGGACATGCAAGAGAGAGAGAGAGAGAGAGAGAGAGAGAGAGAGAGAGAGAGAGAGAGAGAGAGAGAGAGAGAGAGAGAGGGAGATGACTAACGGTAGACAAGAAAGAGGGAAGAAGGTAAAGAGAGGGGGGTGGAGGGAGAGATAGGTGGAGTTAGAAAGAAATTCCAAATGGGGGAAAAGGTGTCCTCGAACCCACATGTGTGTGTGTGTGTGTGTGTGTGTGTGTGTGTG